TCAGCAAAAAACAGACTGTCATGGCAGATTATAGATAGCTATATATCAAATGGAAGAAAATGATGTAAGTTCAAGTCTATATCTAGGGAGTAACCTAATGGCTTACAAAAGTCATCTCCTGCCAATACCACTTGCTTTACAGGGCCTGGGAGTGGAAAAGAACCATACTTAATGCCTTTGTTCATTAAGTTAAATGAACCTTAGTTGGTAGGTTTATGTAGTCACAGTCTTAAAAGATTTTTCTCCAGTGTGTTTTTCCAAAGATGGCACTGTGAGAATAAAGGCTCTGTGCATCCATAAGTAGTCATCTGAAAGCACACAGCAGCAGCAGCCGCAGCGATTGCTATGTCAGGCATTTGTTAGGAAGTCACCTGAAATTGGATGGCTGTTTTTTTTTTTTTTTTCCCCTCAGTCTTTATATAAGGACAAAGAATTTGAAATAATGGTAAGAGTTATTTAAGAACATGAAAGGGAGCGGCCTGCCATAGTCAGCAATCCACAGGATCAGTCAAAAATCTTCTGAAGTGCCAAAACGACTCACCTGGAACATGACAGACTCTGAATCAGGCCCTACTGATCACTAAGGAACACTCAAGAAAGCAGTGACAGTGGCAAACAGACCTTTGGAGGACAGCAAACCATAGTCCAAAGCATGGAAAGCTATCCCTCTGTAGCAGCAAAGTAGCTGGCACTAAATCACATTCCAGGGACTGAAGTACTAGCGGAAATTTAAGCTCTGAGTGAGAGTTTAATAAACAGGACATATAGATAGAAACACTGAGTGTGTCACAGAATATAGCTGCTAACAAACTCTACTGGCTGCTAAGCCACAGTACACTGTAGTTAGGGTCCTTAGCTGCAGGTAGGTTTAAAGTAAGCGAATAACCTTGGTACATTATACAGCAGGAAAAACAGAAATGAAAGCTCATCTGTAGGTATTGCAGGCACTACAGGCACCTACAGATTTGGGATTTATTTTTTCAATAAATCCATTTTACTTTCGTGTCCTGAGCTTTAAAAAATATGCAAGAACAGTGACACACACCGCATACCTTCCAACAAGGCTTTACCAACAGCAGATCAAATTAAATTCCTATTACCAGTGCAAAGAACAAAACAAGCCAAGTGCACTGTACTACAACAGCTAACAGGCAAAACAACTACCTTTCTCCTACAGCACACGTTTGTTTTTTTTTGTTGTTGGGTTTGTTTTTCTTTTTTTGTATTTTTCTATTGCAATGCCACTACCACCTCAACAAGTATTAAGCCCCATGTTGCAAATGCCTTGATATTTCTGGTACTTCTGCACTATGGTACAGAAGAGCTTAAGAGCATGAAACAGCTCAGGACTCAGCAATGCCTAGAGTTTGCTAACACAAGGAATGTTGCTCTCCTGTCCCACAAACTCTACAAGCTGAAGGGAAGAGCAGACCTATTTTTTTTCTCCTGAAAAAAAAAAAAAAAAAAAAAAAGGAAAACAAAAGTGCATGTAATACATATACATATTAAATACTATGCAAATATGTATACTAACACACACATATATGTTTGATCTTAACATTGAAAATAAAAAAACTAGGGATAGTACACAACTAAGTGTCCACGGTTGAAGCCACTGATGAATGTAAAGAAACAACTCACAATAATCAGGGTATCTGAACTACTGCTTTGCAGTGCTGCACTGAATTAATCTTTAAAAATACTTCAGTGTATTTTTTTTCAACAAAAACTTTTGCACCTGCAGTATGTAACCACTGCCTTAAGTGATTTTGCTGCATCTAATACACACGTTTGCATTTATGTTACTATATGCACAGTAGATAAGCCATATGCACATGCAAATACATTACTACCTACGTATGCCAAGGCAAGAAATAAGAATGAGTGCAAAGTACAAAATACAAAAGCACAAGACCATCAACTGTAGAAAACACAAAGCAGACACAAATTGTGCAGTTGACAAGGAATGCCACCTAATCCCCGCTTAATTAAAGCAGGGTTCAAAACTCCTGTTTAGGGAGTGAGGAGTGTGGGATGACTGATGTATGAAGAAAATACTAGGCAGCGTGGCTAATCTCAAAGACTTTGGAGCTTTCCAGCTACATAAATCAGAGGGAGTTTTTGAATAGCCTCATAAAACACAAAATCATTGCCATTCCACTCACGACTGTCACCATTCTTCCTACAGCATACAGATCATTAGGAAACTTCTAAGCAATCAAGTAATGTGGGGCTGATGAAATTACTCAATCAATGCTGAGGGAAGCAACATAAGACAGAATCGCACAGCTCTGACATGGTAACCCTGCCTTTTTCTTTTACATAGAGAGGTGAGGAAAATTGCAGAGGATTCGATTCATTTCAACGTTTTCACAACGGTGCTCAGTGTGGTCGTTCTCAACCGCCAGCTTCTATTTGTAACAGCAGGGCAGCAGAAATGTACTACGAGCAGCCCTACCCACATCCAAATTATGATATAGAAAAATGCTCATTTTTAAGTATGCACATTCACACATGCACAGACCTGCTCTAAATGGTCAAAAGTGGCAGCTTATCATCGTTCAGTGGACAGGAACGTGAGAAAGCATATCTCATAGGTGAGTACCAGGCACCGTTCCCCTCCTACCACCATCACCAATTCTTTAATCCCTGCCCACTAATTCCAACACTTTCATTGTCTCGGGAGCAGCAGAGTTGTTACATTCTCTGATACAGTAAACACTCCTTTCCTGATAACATACGGAAGGACACACAGGCAGCCAAGAAGAGTTAGTGGGCTGCAATGAAAAAGCACCATCAGTGCCACCAGAGAAATGATATGCACAGATAGAATGGTATCTCTTATGACTGCATCCCCCTCCCATACTTACAAAAATATTTTCCGCTTGCATTTACTAATACTGTAAAATTACAGAAAGATACCGCTTCTGCTTTGTTTGTTGCCTTAAGGCATCAGTACTGCCTCTGGTAGTATTTCTTTTCCCCTGAACTGAGCATTTTGTTTTCTTCTTTGGCTTTATGAGTCCTTCTGTGGGCAATTTGTTCACAGAGTCCTCTGCTGCTCCTTTTCATAACTCATTTAGATAAATGCAGTTCATTATTTGTCTTTAAATATTTTATACTTAAGTTCACTCGGCACAAGTGGAAGACAGAAGAGGTCAGAACACTCAGGTCACTCAACACAGGATACTGTCAAGTTGGAACATTCGCATGTCTGCCCACTTACTGTTGGCACAGTTCTACATTCAGGTCATTTCTTTGCAATATATTTGTTTTAATAGATTTAAAGCTCTGTGCAACCCATATCAATTTGCCATTTTCATGGCAACATAAACCAGTCCATAAAAGGAGCTAATCCCCTTGTCAACTGTACTAATTGTCTCTCAAGACAAATTAATTGTGTGAGAAACAACTACTTGGGTATTATTTTTTTTTTTCCCAGCAAGGATTTACTGCACTGATGCATCTAACCACTAATGGCATTATAAAAAAACGGTAAAAGTGTTGCATTCTCAGTATATAACAAGCGAAACATCAAAATACCATTAACGTGAAAACAGAAAAGCTGTCGCCTCCCCCGTTGCTGCTGCAGAACCCAGCGCTCCCTCAGCCAGGAATCGGGGCAGGAAATCGCCGAGAAACTCCCGGTCTATTACTCAGCCAAGATTTACCCCCAAATCCTAAAATGTGACCACTTTGTTGCAAGCTCCCAAGTATGAAATTGTAAGGCAGACCGTCTCCTAGTGTCGCTTCGACAGTTTACAGCTATGAGAAGGAAATGTTTAAAACAAGTCCTTCTCCCTTTAAAAGGAGGGCACCTAGCGCTGCTTTCCCTGCGCGATATTCGCTGCTCCAGCCGCACTCAGCAAAGAGTACTGACCCCTATAAAGTTGCGGCACCTCAGGGAAGCGGCCGCTCGAGAGCTTGGGCATGGGAAGGAGGGAGGGGTCAGCGCAGAAACCGGAGTCCGACAGAAAGCTCCGGCCGGCCGGGCCCTACAAACACCGTTCCCACAGAGCCCCACCGGCAGACATGTTTATGAAGCCGCCTCCGGCAACGGGCAGGCACCGCCCAGGGGACCCCCCCGAGGCCCCAGATGCCCCTTCCTCGGGGCAGCGCTGCGACCGCCGCCCCCACCAGTCCGCGCTCCGGCACCGCCTGCGTGCCGAGCCTGCAGATGGGCGAGCGGCCGCGGAGCGGGGGCAGCGCCCTCTACTCCCCGGACCGGAGCGAGGGTGGGGGGAGGAACGGCCCGCTGCGGACATCCTCCGGCTCTCGGAGGAGGGCCGCACGTTCCCCGAGGCTGAGCCTGCGGAGAGGCACCCTTCCGGATAGCAGCGGCGGGTGAAGCCCTGTGCTCCCTCCTCAGCTGAAGGTGCGGGTGGAGTCGAGCATCGCGATCACCCCACCGCCAGCCGCCCCGCTCCTGCATGGGGGAAGCCGGGCATCCTTCCCGGCGCGGCCGCGGGAGGCGCCCTGGGTGTCGAAGCGGGGGAGCAGGGCAGGACCCCCCCCTCCACCCGCCCTTGCGGCCGGCCGCCCGCGGAAGGGAAGCGCACACGTTTCCAAACCACCTGTTCCGCCGAGGGAGAGTAGGGCGGGGGGGCTTCACTTCGCCGCCGTGCTGTTGGGGAGGGGGGAGACCTAAGGTTCGCCCTCGGCCCGGGGCAGGAGGGTGGCAGGGTGAGGGGCTGGCGAGAGCGAGTAAGAGTCCCCGAGCCTCGGACCCCCCGAGCGGTAGCCGCGCGGATCCTCAAGGTCTAAAGCACGCACGTAGCCCGCCGGAAAGAAAGCTTCCCTCACGGCACTAAGGGGAAAGGAGGACGCCCGAGATCCTTGCGGGAAGCAATTACGGGAGTGGAGCGAACAACACATAACCAGCGAGAGAAGGATGAAAGAGAGCGGGGGCTGCGGGGAGGGGGAAGCCTGCCAACAGAAAAGAGGATGCAAAGGAGAGCTGAAAGTGTCCAGCGGCACCGGAAGACGCAGCACCCCCTTACCGATATGAATGATTGAATCTGCAATCGCCGCTTTCCAGGTTCGAGTCCAACAGACGGACACAACCAGGATGAGGGAGAAAACTTCCATCTCCGGCGGAGCTCCAGGCTTTGTAAGGACGGCTTTCTCGGTGAAACGATGGCACCGTGGAGGATGGCGCGGCGCAGGAAGCCCAAGAGTTTGAGGTGCCGGAGGAGCGCGTAAATCCCGCTGGCAAGCGCACGGCTGCGGCTGGGCGAGGGGCGAGCTTGGGGCTCCGGGCGCTTCTCCCCTCGGCGAGAGCCCGCGTCACTTCGGAGGACTCCCGGGCAGCAGAGTTGCTGGGAGAGCCGGCAGCAAATCCATCGAGCCCGGGCGCCGCCGCGGGCAGCAGCCGCCTCTGACGGTCAGACCATCCTCATCCTTCCGCCGGGTCCAGAGAGCCGCTCGGTCCCGGCTGCTGCACGGCAACTTCCAACCCACACCGCGCAGACACGCAGACACACACGAGAACACGCGCACGCACGCACACACGAACAAACCCTCTCGGCCAGAGGAGCCCCGGGAGCCCGCAGCAAGGAGCTCGCCTTCAGGGAGGGAGGAGGAGTGAGGAAGCGGGAGGGCAGGCGATCCTGGTGCCAGCAGCCAGATTCCTGCAGGAAAAGCCCCCCCGGAGGCCAAAAAACAAAGTGAACTTCAAGGTAATGCGGATAGTAACGCAGAGATCTCCCCCCACCCTCGGGTTAAAAAACGCTTCCCACAACTGGAAGAAAACAAAAAAAAAAACAAAAAAAAAAAAAAAAAAAAGAGGGGGCAAAACCAGATAATTTTGCAAATGAAGCCCAGCGCGCAGGTCTCTGTCGCGCGAGTGGTTGGACAGAGCAGGAGCAAGGAGTGCCTGGAGCACAGCAGAAGAAAGCAATGATGGTCTGCAGGTTGCTTTCGGAGCTCCCTTTGCTGGTGGGATGCAGAGAGCTGGCGGCTCCGGCACCAACCAGCACGTTGCCTAGAAATGGATCACCTAGGAGAAGGAGAGAGAGCGAAAGATAAGTGCTATCAGCCAGAGAGGGAGAAACAGAGAGAGCGAGCGAGCGAGCGCTCTTCTCTCTAATAACCACCTCCTCCCCCTATCTGCAATACGAGGGAGAAACAAAATAGAGCTCTCATCTCCCTTGAAGTCTTCAACTGGGACTGAGGAAGAGACATAGACAGGAGTGCACGCAGCCTAAAAATACATTGGAGGGAGCGGGGGGGGGGGGGGAAGATGGTGGGGAAAAAAAAAATCTTTTTGAAGTGTTATGCTCAGCTTAAAAAAAAAAAAAAAAGAAGAAGAAGAAGAAAAAGAAGAAAAACCCATCCCATTTATTTAACCTTGTAACTCCACCGCAGGTATCAAGTTCAAAGCTGGATGGGCAATTTTGCTTCTCGGTCTTTGACAACTGAGTCAGGGACACTGCTTGAAGGAGAAAAGGAAAAAAAAATAGGGACACCTGGCCTCAAGAGGAAAACGAAGACCTAAAAATCTATTAATATGATTTTAATTATCTGTGTTCTTGATGGAATTGTCACTATTCTTTAAAGCAATGAATTTACTTCCCCCCCTTTCTCTCTTCAGGTATTGGAGAAATTTCTATGGGAAAACATTCACAGTGCACTTTTTATGCTCAGGGTTCTATGAAAACATTAACCAATTAATCGTCAGCTTTTGGCTGCAGTTAAATACATGTTCCCATTGCACAGATCAAGAATTGCACAGGCAGGTTAAGTATTCTTATAAAGTAGTCCAAATCCCAACTTTGTGTCTTATTTCCTCCAACCTTGTTACATCTAGTTATACTAGAGACAGGATGCAGAAGTCAAAGACTTGCTCTGAACTTATACATATGACCTGATAGTCTTATTGGAATTGTAAATAAAGGTAGATCATCTCTCTATAAACAATCCTTTCTGAAGGCATTTCCTTAAATATATGGCTTCAACTAAGCTAATTATATCTGACTTGCATATTTGTGTCTAACTGACATATTGTGCCTTTCAGTCATGGAACTACTTAACAAGCACACCTGAGTACTTAATAAATTAAACGATTTAGCTCAAGAGGAACAAGTAAGACATACTAAGTCAGTGTAAGGAGCAAGATAGAGAGACATGGACCTGTTGGAGTGTGTCCAGAAGAGGGTCACAGAAGTGATCCAAAGGTTGGAACATGTTCCCTAAGGGAACAAGCTGAGAGAGCAGGTGCTTTTCAGCCTGGAGAAGGACTCAGGTTGACCTGTTAATGGCCTTTCGGTATGTAAAGGTGGGATAAAAGAAAGAAGAGAGACTTCAGCAGAGTCTGATGTGATAGGACAAGGGGAAGTGATTTCAGACTAGAAGATTTAGACTGGATATGAGGAAAAAGGTTCTTTTTGTTTTGTTTTTTAGTACTAAGGATAGTGAGTCACTGGAACAAATTGCCTGGAGAGGTGGTAGAAGGCCTGTCCTTGGAAACAGTCAAGTTCAGGTAGGGAGGGGCTCTAAGCAACCTGATAATGCTGTAGGGTTTCTGTTCCTTGAGGGAAGTTGGACTAGATGACCTTTAAAGATCCTTTCCAACTCAAACAATTCTAAGATTCTATGACTGCTCAATAACCAAATCTGCAAATAAACTGCCAGCAATAATTTCTACTTCTACAACCACACTGGCAGGTGAGTATTTCCCTAAAAATGGTTAACATCCAAAAGGCTTCAAAAAAGATCCCGAGAGCACAAGGCAGGCATCCCCTTTTCAATGGCTAGCCTGTGTCTCCTCTAAAAGATAAGAAATTGACTAATATTAAGTTAATGAGACAAAAGAAAGGGATACAGAAGAGAACAAAAGCTAGAGCAAGAATCCTTCACATGATGCACTTGTTCACATCCTCTATGCAAGTTACCAATAACAGTAAATTGTACAAAAAGGTGTGGTTTTCTTTTTTTCATAAATGATAATTTATGCACAATATCAGTGAGTGCAATGGGCATTAATTTTACGAGTAATAAATTCTGAATCATCTGAAAAACTTCTGGAGCTGCTTAAGTCATTATTACTTCTCCACAAAAGAACAGAGTTCACAAGAAATGTTAATTTGCTTCTTTGGGGGGCATGCCAGAGCAGTACTCTTTAATAATGTACAATGCAGAGCAGACAAAGTAGGAAATGTAATGAAAACCTTTGGAAAACTGAAACTTTTTAATCCTCAGTTTAGATAGTACTAAGAATCCTTATCTAGAAGCCAGCTATCCTTAAAGACTACTTAAAGCATCCAGCAAATGTACCCTGAATTGGCCACACTAAATGGACATTTTCACTTAAGACTGTGGACATACTTATCAGGACAGAAAGCACAGCCAAGAGTTTGTAGTTCACAAATACCGTCTATCTAATAAAAATGCTTTTTAAGTATAGTTCTGAATAATAATTTCAGTAGCAAAGAACACTGCCTGAAAGCTTGAAGGGAATGAGACTGAAGTAAAACTAAAACATAAATTTAACTAAGTTTATTTAAATAATAAACACATTATTGACATAATATGTATCCCCCCCAGAGATAAAATCATTAGTACTTCCTACCTTTCATTCTCTTCAACTCTTATTCATTATAACCACAAACTGGTGTCATCTATATAGCGAAAATGAAAAATCTTGTGCTACATAATTTGTTCAAAGGATAATGGTCTCTTCTAATCAATATATGCTAAGCACTTACAGAAAGTTGAAATCAGGAAAAAAAAATCCAGAACAGAATTTACCGATCCTGTGGAAATATTATTCTAAAAAGGACTCTATTAATCAGACCTGAGCCAATGCAAACTTCTAATAAGTTATGAGCACATTTCCTGGGATGTCTGGAAGGCTGCCCTAGGCTCTCTGGACACTTACATTTCCACAGTTTTTAGCCATGCTCCTCTTCCTTCACTACAATTTTCCTCCCAAAATACTCTCAGTTATGCCAGCATCACTTCAGCTCCACCATTAGAATCCACAGAGAAGGATCACTGCAGGCTTTTTTTTTTTTTTTTTTTTCTTACAACAGGGCAGGCTTTTTTTTTTTTCTTACAACATCTTCCTAGCAGTCTAACTACAAGGTTAATGGTTGATGTGCTTAATATTTCTTGTAATCATCTCTTGCAGCGCTACATGCTAGTGCAACCCCTAGAAAAGCAATAAAGGAAAGATATTTTTGTAAAACAAATGCAGCAGGAAAACAAATGTGTCCATCTGATACATGGTTCCTCTTGTCTACACGTAACACTCTGTTCCTTTACCTGCTTGAGACCTGAGCTTCCATCTGAGGAGGAAAGACAGATAAATACAGAAGTGTCACATGCCTTTCACTTATCTAAAGCTTCACGAGGAAAGTGTTATTCTCTTTCTCCTGGCTGATTGGCCATGCAAACAGGTCTGAGATCAGCTTAACCAATCTTCATGAATTATCTTTGGGAAGTTGTTTGTTTAATTCCTAATTCCTAAGAGTTCTTACAGTTTTTTAAGAAAATAACATTAAAAAAAAGGTAGCATTAAATTCTGTGACCTTCTGTTATAGTGAATTTCAACAGTGCCAACTGGCCATGAAAAACAGCATTTCTTTTACTTGGTTCTAATTTGTTCCCCTCTCTTTCTTAAGATAGTTCAATATTATTTCACCACAGGGTGGGATTAGAAGGAATGGCTCATATGTTACAGGAGAGAACCATCAATTACAAATACATAACAGTCATACCTAAATTGTTACGGATGCCATCTGAGCATGGGAGAAATGCCAGGAAGGCCCATTGACTGTTGCTGAGATTGGTTTCTATTTCTGGACTCTTAATATCATTTGTTTTCATTTTTACTGCAGCTTCTTATTCTTCAGGTCTTTCTGGATCATTTTTCAAGTGAGTACTCCTGACGGAGAGAAATTAACAGTAATTTTGTCAATTTCCATGTTTCTTTGACAGTTATACAGAAGAATGGGCTTTTTTCTCTCTCCAGATAATATTTGGATGTTCTGATTTGTCACCAAAGAATAACTTTATGTTTGAAGTGCAGGAACATGTAATACCCTCAATCACGTACTTCAACTCCAAAAATATAACGGGCAAATTCTTCAATCAGATTAGCATAGGCAACTCCTTACAGATGGGCATTTCAGTGAGTTAGTGACAGGTATGGAATCTCTCTGTAAGGATACAATTCCTGGGTTGCTTCGTAATTTACATGAAATGAGACAAAAAAAAAGTCAGCACTAATATTA